AATTACCTTTTCAGGCTGCTCATCATTCATCACTTCATATTCGCGGTCATCCTGTCACAAAGGTTGTCCTTCCTACAGGCTGTCCTGTCCTACTGGTAGTATCAGAACACCTACCACAGGATGGTCAAAAGCCAAAGGAACAGCTGGTAGTGTTTGTTTGATCCACTGAGAATACATTTTACAACACCACTGATACAATTCTGACAGCGCCACACTAACACGTTGCAAAGAACAATCCAGTATACAAAAGTCACTTCAAAGCTTAAGTTGAAAATCAGCAAGCAGCTCTTCTCAGCCTGTTCTACTCTTACCAACCTCTTCCCCTCTGAAAAGGCTCGATTTACAACTGCCGTACCACTTACTCCCCTCCACCCCAAAACAAAATAATAAATTTTTTTAAAAATTAAAAAAAATTTAATCCCACACTGCCCCCTCAACTCCCTTCCGCCATGGCCATGGCAATACAATCTACAAAATCCTACTCTAAACCGAGCCTATCCACCTAGCTCCCTATCAACCTATCTTTACAATGCCACAGCAGTGTAGGTAAGGGAAGAGCTGCCTAATGATTTTGTGCTTGAGTGTTGGAAGGGAATTTTGCATACTAGCTTGTTCTTTGTATCTTGTTAGTGCTGCATGGCATTACTGTTTCAATGATGTAAAATTTATATTAAAATATGGATCAAACAAACTCTACCACCGGTTTATTTGACCTTCTACCTTCTGTGGTAGACTTACTGATAACTCAAGCACCTTCTTGCTAAAAGTCCGATGAGTGACAGTAATCTGAAAAACATTAATTCAAAGTTAAATCAGTTTAAACTGCTAAATTTTGAATGTAAGCACATTCATGTTGGAGCATCTAAATTATTTTATACGTGATTAAATGCAGAACATTCTATTTACATGAGCTAAGTAGTAAAACATGCAGCATGTGACTCAGAAAGAAAGTTTTGTCCTTCAAGGACATGTATAAACCTTACATTGTTTCTACCTTTTAATCAATAAAACATATTACTTTACCAGTACACCTATGCTGGTGTGAAAAGAAAGACTTGACAGTTACAGGCTGAAAAAAAGAAGAACAACCTTGAAATGACACTGAAGAAAATATCTTTGTTTCCGTTTGAATTACATCAATTACAAGCAACATACTCAGGTCTTTTTTCAGGAGCCATTAAACAGGTCCAGGGGAAGTTTTTGAGAGAGTTAGTTTAGTATGGTGTTTTATGGCGCTCTCAACTGCATAAGGAGTTTTTGAGAGAAACAAAAGTAAAAATGAAACTTTCAAGTTGACCTAGCATTGGTATTTCTAATTGTTTTTTCAACGTCTTAATAGGCCAAGACATCTTTCAAAGACAAATACCTTCTTGGGCTGATCATCCTACACTTCTTGTTTCTCGATACAGTTGATATGGACAATCTTCTGGTCTTGTAGGCAATCAACCGGTAGCTGCAGGCAGTCCTGGTGATGAAAACAATGTGTTAAAGATTTATTGATCGAGAACAATATGACAAAGAGTGATTGAATGATTGAGTAGGTGTATTACTGCACTGTTAATGTGTCAAAGAAAATCAAACATCTCGTGTTTTATTTAGTATAACGATATTTTTTTTAAACATTCTGGTGTCGATAAAGAAAATCCAGTATTTTGACATTTCCTTTGACTCGTACTGATCAATAAGACATATTAATGCTAACGAAAAGTGTTTATTTTAAGTTCTATTTTTCTAGTGTGTGTTTTTTTTACACCCTCATCAACACAATTTAGATTACTTAGGGTGTAGATATTCGACATTTCACAGTGAAACCTGACTCATCGATGGGTATTCTAATTTTATTGTTATTATGAGTTAAATAATGTCCTAATAATAATGGAACTTAAGCCTCAGTGAATAGTGTTGCTAGACATACTTCAATAACAAATACCTTCTAATGCTGATCATCATTCATCCCTTCTTGTTTCTTGACATTCTCGATATAAACGGTTCTATCCTGCACTACCCCCCTCAACTCCCTCCCGCCATGGCCATGGCAATACTCCCTACAAAATCCTACTCTTAACCTAGCCTGTCCACCTAGCGTCCTATCTACCTATTCGTACAGCCCCATTGTGATGTAGGTTGGCTTTTTTCGGGGGGCAAAGGCTGGTGGCTGGAATAGATGAGGGTGGGAAGAGCTCCCTGGTGAGTTTAAGATTGAGTGTTGAAGTGCCATTATATACTGGATTGCTCCCTGCAGCTTGGTGCTGCAAAACCACGATTGTATCAATGATTCTGTAAAATGTATACTCAATTGAACAAACAAGCACAGCTAGCTTTTTGTTTGGCCTTTGACTTTCTAAGGTAGCCTCACTGATAGCACCAGTGTCCTCTTGACCAAACGTCTGATGAGTTGTAGTTTTCTAAGAAAAATATATTTAAAGTAAAATAAGTTTGAATAGCTAAATTTTGAGTTTTAATTTTGTAGTTTTAGTAAAAGTTTTAGGGCACTTGCAGTGCAATGAGGTCAAAAAAGTGCCGAAGATTATAGGTGTTACAAGAGAGTAACAAACAAAAAAAGAAGGAGAAGAGATAAGGACGATAGATGTTTGATAGGAAAGAAGAAGCAAACTACACCAGAGCACCCGTCAACCAATTCTGAGTAATTAAAGAATGGCACATTAATGTAATAGTGGTCATTTTTTTCACGAAAACAAAAAGCAAGACAAACAGGAACAAACACAAGAGATAAAGACGGAAAAGCAGGAACTGCCATTAATTGCAGCCTCATCCCACCAAAATATTTATTACTGATTGGTTGAGTAGACATGTTATGTTACCAATGATTGATTGATTGGGTAGATGTTTTACGGCACTATCGACACAATTTTGGTCATTTAAGCGCCATCAGGTTTCACCGCTACAAAATCAGACGTGTTTTTAATAAGAGTCTTTCGGAGCTCGCAACCGCAAACGATCACACTATTTCTATTATGCTAAAAAGACGAACAAACATTTATAAAAAAAAATTTGTAAATATGGAAAAGGTTTATTTACATTTGTATATACAATACAAATCTCAGTGTATGTATATATACACCGACAACGACAACTATATATTTTCACATTTTATTAAACA